GCCAGTTACCGCAGTCTCTAATCCCATCAACCACCCGCTGAGCCGCAAAGCCCTTCAGCAGCCCGGCAGCTCCGCTCACATCTCCCACTTTGATCTTCCCGTGCTCCTCCAGCAGCTTCTCTTTGATCTGGGGCCACAGCGAGGCCGGGGCGTAGAGGCGGGAGCAGGCGGAGCATTTCTGGCCGCCGTACTCGAAGGCCGAGCGCAGGGTCCCGTTCACCACGCTGCCCACGTCGGCCGAGCTGTGCACCAGGTGGAAGTTCTTCCCTCCACACTCTGGCGGCAAGGGAGGAGAAGGGACAAGAGAGGAGCCGTCAGGGGCGCGCAGCCCCCGTGGAGCACAAATCACAGCCAGGTCACTGGGGCAGCTCGCCCTGCCTGGTCGGTGGTTCCTCCGTTGTGATCCCAGGGAGCGCAACCCCGGAGCTCCAGGAGGCTCCCAAAACGGATGGAACCCAAGTTCCCAACCTTAGTATAGAGGCTCTGCAATCCCAGGGCAGCACCTCCTCCTGCCCAAGGGCCCCATTGTAAACACCCATCCCATGCCAGTGGGAGCCAGTGCCACAAGCTCCTCCGCATGCCCAGCACAGCCACACAACCAGCTTCTGCCACAGAGGGTGCAATTTACTGCAGCATTTTCTCCTTGCACCCAAAGAGAGGAATCCTGGAGAACTCAGGTTCTCCCCTCAGCAGGGGACAAGCTGAGCCCCCCATCCTGCAAGGCCTCCCCCCAAAAAGGTGTAGGAAGCGGCAGTTACCTCCAGCCAGACGTGGGAAGTTGCGGTAGTGATCCAGGTTTTCTGATACCTGCTTCCACAGCCGCTTGAAAGTTCTGGAATAGGAAGGAGGAGCTGGTCAGTGCACCTTTGCCTTTGCAAGGGGAAAAGGCACCAGTGGGTGATGAGCTCTGCTGAAGGGGACCCCAGGAAACCCCTGTGTCTATCCCTAGAAGAAGGGATGCCCTGCAAGCAGCAATGCCAGCTGAAAGTGAGACCCTAAGGACCCAAAGGCGCTACACAGCAACTGTTGGAGAAGTAAGGAACTGTTGCAGTGTCACCGGGAAGAGCGCAGGAGTGAGCATTCAGCTGAAGTTTGTGTTTCTGCCTCTCCCCCCGGTTCCTTCTGGTCCTTACTGTGACAAACCCCTCGGCTGCAAAACAATAAAAATGCTAATAGCCTCCCAGCAGGAGGCCCAGCCGCTAACACTAATTTATGAGCTTCCCACCTTTAAAGCAGGATGCTCATCAGACCATGTCCTTCGCTGGTGGAGCAGGGTCCCCGGGTTTAATAGCCCGTTGCAGGCTGCCAGGGACCCTCAGTGTCACTAACACACCACGACGGGCGGGCAGAGCACAGGTTTGCAAAGCTCCCCGGAGCTGGCACCGCTCTGCTGCACAGGGAGGTGCGTTCAGTCAAATCACAGCAGCCCTGGAACGTGGGGCAGTGTCACGGGCAAGTCTGCCTGTTCTCTGCCTCGAGTTTGGCAACAGAAACTCCCTGCTATTAATTTATATAGAGATTTATCTCCAGTGCCTAAAGGGGCTCCAGGAAACCTGGAGAGGGGCTGTGGACACGGGATGTAGGGACAGGACAAGGGGAAGGGCTTTAACCTGCCAGAGGGGAGATTGAGATGAGCTCTGAGGCAGAAGCTCTTCCCTGTGAGGGTGCTGAGGCGCTGGCACAGGGTGCCCAGAGAAGCTGTGGCTGCCCCATCCCTGGCAGTGTTCAAGGCCAGCTTGGACACAGGGGCTTGGAGCAACCTGCTCTAGTGGAAGGTGTCCCTGCCCATGGCAGGGGTTGGAACTGGAGGAGCTTTAAGGTCCTTTCTAACCCAACCAGTCTGGGGTTCGGTGGTTCTATGAAACGCACTCCCTGTAGCAAGAAAACCCCGTCAGACACTTTTGCTCAGTTGTGAACCCCTGCCTCAGTTCCATGGTGTAAGCAGGGGTGACTCCTGCCTGCTGCCCCGCTGAGGGCTGCCCCACACGTCCCAAGGACGAGCCCCTCGCGCAGCTCCCCACGTACGGCACGCTGCCGGTGAAGTTGAGCCCGCAGAAGTGCTCGGAGCTCGTGACGGTGTCTCCAAACACGGGCCCATCCGCTGGCACGAACTGCACGATGCTGGGAGGGAGCCCGGCCTCCAGGAGGATCCTGTAGACGGCGTAGCTGGAGAGCAGGGCAGTGTCGCTGGGCTTCCACAGCACCACGTTCCCCTGCGGGAGAGGACGCAGTGAGCACGGCAGGAAGGCGCCAGCCCGCACACGGGTGTGCAAGGCTTAAACCCTCTCTACATGTGTCCTGCAGCACACAGTGGATGGGGCCAGAGCAACAGGCACCCTCGGGGGATTCCCCCCT